GCCCCCAGAGCAGCGGCCCAGCACCAGCACCTTCCCAGCGGGGTAGGTATTGGGGGGCCGCGGGCCCGCGGAGGGGCACAAACCTGGGGGAAACGAGGCTCCCCCCGCCTCTTTGTTTTTGCTGGGAGACGAGAGGAGGGCGGGCGGACACGCGCGTTCGCACTGGGGGGAGGGGGGGCAACCGGGCGGCGCCCATTCGGCCAGCGAGGACAAAGGCACGGCTGGGGACGAGCAGGAGGAGGGGGACACTTATTTCGCACACTGGCCCGGGAGCGACCCACCTCCCCCCTACCCAGTCCGGCCCGCCTCCCCTTCCCACAGACAGACCCTTCAAGGGCCCCAGCCTGCCGGGGTGACCACCGCGGGCTGTAATTTGGGGACGCCGAGGGTGGGGGGCTGGGACTGGGGTGCCGGGGGCACCCGACACTGTTGATTCAGCTTCTCGCCCAAAACCCCGGGCTCGTGTATGTTTCCTTGGACAATCAGCTGCATTCTCCCCGTCCATTCTCTCTTGGCCCGGGTGCCCCAAACCTGGGGGTCAGATAGGGTACTCCCGTATGTTGGATGGGGCGTTTTGGGGTCCTGAGGGGACGGGGCGTGTGGGCACCTAGGCCTCCGATTCTGTTTTCCTTTGTGGAGAGAGAGAAAGGGGTGGGGGTTATTTATCAGCTCGGATTCTCCCATTTCTGTGTGTGAGAAATCGTGTTTTGCAAGTCTCTGGAACCTAGAACTCTGTTTGTGTCGGGATGTCTTTAGAGCTAGGATTCCCAAGCTCCTCCTAACATTCAAAACTCAAAGTGGGGTGAGCCCCCTCCCCAACTTCCATGTTAGTTTTCTTACGTATTTTCTGTTTGGCGTAGCTTCTCTCTGGGAGGAGGGGAGACCCCGATTAGGGCATAGAGAGGGTCTAGGTTGCTTCTGATTAATGCCTGTTTTTGGGTCTCCTTTTGCCTTCATAGCTAGTGTCTGTCTTTTACTTTAATGGTCCAGTGACAAGGACCCTGGCTCAGAAGGGAGGCAGGAGTAAAAAAACAAAAACTGCCCATGTGCTGGGTGGTAGCAGTGGAATCTTCATTTCCGCCTTCTTTCCCCGTGTTTTCAGCCCCCTCTCCCCAAATGGGAGAAGCAGCAAAAGAACTACAAAGCCCCTCCCATCCTTGAATCAAGCCTTTCTCCTCCCCTCTGGGAGGCTTTTGGGGGATGGTGCTGGGGGAGTCTAGGCTCTCCCAGGTGCCCTGGACCCCCAGGCAATGGGGAGACTTTGGCGGGTCTGGGTGGTTAGCACATAGTGGTGGTGGTCATCCACAGGGCTGATGTTTGCACCCCGCTTCCCTCTGCTGACAGCCCAGTGAGTGCAGAGGGGCCAGGGGCCATGTGTAGTGTATTTATGTAAGACACCCACATGGAGGGCATGGTATTTATATAACCCGGTGTGGGTATTTATGTAATATAGGATGCGGGGATATTTATGTTCCTTTCCTAACCTGCGGCTTTCCCGGCTACCGTGTGTGGTCTCTGAATTGGCTTGGGGGGCTGCTGGCGTGTGTACACAACCGCGCCTGCCCTGGCAGGGCGCTCTGCGGGCCTGCTTTCCTTTCTTCCCTTGGAGTATACACACACTCAGGCAGTGGGCCAGTGTGTGTATGTGAGGTGTGTGGTGTGTTGGGTTTCTTGCAAGCATGGAGTGTGTTCTGCTGGCAGCCATGGCACCTGGGCAGGGACTGGCCAGGTGTGTGGGCAAAGGCCCTTGATGGAGAGCTGGAGTTTGGCTGGCACCCGGTGAAGGCTACTTCCTTGTGGCTGTTGGTGAAGGGCTGATGGTGCTCCCTCCAAGCCTGGGCCTGGGGCAAGGCTGTCTCTCCTGGGCTGTAGCTGTTGATCCCTTGGCCAGAGTGGGGGGGCTTGGGCTTGAGCTCCCATTTCCCTTCCCCTGCAGGGCATGCTGGGACCTGGCGAGGTCTGGCCTCTGGACCAAGGGGGTCCTTAGGAGGCCCTGGCCAGGCTGTGGAGGTCTTGGCATGAGAGTCCTGGGGATGGGGTGAGTGGTGGCCATGGGGGAACCCAGTCATTTCAGAGGCCCAAAGGGCTCAGGAGCCCCTTTGGGACCCTTCCCTTCAACTTGTTCTCCCATCCCTGGTGGTTAGAGTTTGTGGTTTCCATGGTATCACCTCCAGAATGGTCAGCTCCTGCATCCCCCCTCCCCATCAACCCCTTTTGTCCTCGATTTGCCGTTCTGGGTCTTGGCCCCTTGTGATTTGCTTTCCTCTTGAGAGATTCCTATTGGTGGGGGTCCCCTGGGTGAGTGCCCCCTGCAAGGAGGTGCTCGGCTGTTTCCTTTTGGGCCTTGTCCCCATTCCCACCTTCTGTCTGGCTGAGCTGAAGCCGGTTCTAAAGCAGCCTCCACTCTCCTCTGCCTGACCCCTCCCAGAGTGTCCATGGTGGGGTCTGAGGCTGCCTGACACCTAGTTGCCCTCAGGCACAGCAAGGTCACGTCCGTTCCTGGACAGTGGGAGTGAGAATGTCAGGATTCCTTGTGGCTTCGCCTGGCCTCTGGTGGGGAGGGGTAGGGCCCGGTGCGCTCGGCCCTCTTCCCAGCACCCTACTTCTCTGACCCCAGTATCTGCTTCTCTCTGCAGCAAGTGAATCATGGAGCTACGTGTGGGGAACAAGTACCGCCTGGGCCGGAAGATTGGGAGTGGGTCCTTCGGAGATATCTACCTGGGTAAGTGTTCCTGGCACCAGTGGGGTGGTGCTGGAGCCCTGGGACAGCTCTGGGGACAAGAAGGAGGAAAGATCCCAAGATTTCGGGATGTGAAGCCGGGACTTGGCTCTGGGGCTCCCGTGGCATGTTTTGGGCAGCTTGCCCCCAAGACCATCTCCGATGGGGAAGGAAGCAGCAGGTTGGCACGGGGGCTCCCACTTGCTGGAGGTGTGTCAGAGGAAGGTATTTTTAGCGCTCCTTTCCAGCTGCAATGGACCTGAGGCTCCAGAGGGGCGTGGGAAAGCCCTGCAGGGTTAGCATCCCCTGTCTCTTTCCTCCTGGGAGAAGGATGCTACCACTTGCCCCCCAGCCAGGCCCTCTCCCTATGGTCTGGCCCCCTGGAATTCAGCCCTTCCCAGGCTTTGGAATGTCGCAGGCTCCCCAGTAGCCTCGGGGGCACCTGCTTTCTTTTGGGGATCTCTCTCTCTCCGGATGTGCTTCCTGTTGAAAGTCTGAGTCTGCTCTGATGTTGTCCTTTTTAGAAATTTCACTGACATCCTCCTCTCCTCGGCCTAGGAGAAGTGAAGTTTGTGCCTTCGAATGCCACCTTCTCGGGCGAGACTTCAGCTGGTTAATGGGCAGAGTCAGGAGCCCACAGCCCACCCTTTGCAGTTGTGGATCTGGGTGGCCCAAATGGTTTAGTGCCTGACTACTAGCCGAAAGGTTGGTGGTTCAAACCCACCCAGAGGCGCCTCTGAAGACAGGCCTGGTGATCTGCTTCTGAAAGGTCCCAGCCTTGAAAACCCTGCGGAGCAGTTCTGCTCTGCACACATGAGGTCACCATGAGTTGGACTTGGCAGCAGCCAACAACACCGATCTGGGGTTTAAGGGTCGGGGCTTGGTGTTGTCAGAGCAAGTTGGCAAACCCCTCAAGTTTATCCTCATTTCTGTCCCTGTGCCTCGGAGCAGGCCAGAGCCGCGACTGTGCCTCTGTTTTCCTCTTGGAAAATGAAAATAAGTCAGTTGACTGTCCTGAGCAGAGAAAACCAACAAGTCCATGTACCGTGTTCATTAGTTCAGAAATTGGGGAGCTTCTCAAAACCCAGGAGTTAGTGTCCCTGCCCATTGGAGTATGAAATCTGTTTCTGAGTGGCCTTGGCATCCTGTCCCCCGCCCCCCCGCCCCCCCACCCAGTCAGAGGGGAAAGGGAAGGGGATGTGCATTCTTTGAATACTTACCTGGGCCCAAGTGCGTGCAGGGCCGTTTCTGAATGTGGGCTCCCCTCACTGCTAGAGATGGTGTTGTGTTATCCCGCCTTGCGCAGCAGGAAGCTAAGGGGCAGCAAGGTTGAGTTGGTGGCCCAAGGTCACACTGCTGAAAACTAGAAAAGCCAGCTTCGTATTCACAGCCCTGCACATGAGTGAAAGTGTAAATGACAGGATGGGGGACGGAGATGTCAGACAGACCTGGGGTCTAAACTGGCTTTGTGTGGCTGTTCTATGTCTTAGTATCACCATCTGAAAAGTTGGTGTGATGATGAGGCTGGGCCATCCACCAGTAAAACAATGGCTATGAAAGCAATTTGTAAACTGTAGAGTGCCAGCAGGTGTGCAGTTCACTGCTGAGAGCTTAACAGAGTACCCCTCTGCTCTAAATACCCCTGGAGCTCGCAGCAGAGAGGGGACAGTGTACAGTTGGAGTTGATTCCCCGCCGCTCACCCAGCCCATGGCTTGTCCCCAGTGGGCATCAGTGAAGGCTTCTCCAGTGAAGGAATGAGGACATGGGGCCTGCAGCATGCTGATAGAGAAAGGTTGGGATTTGGGGGCAGGTCTGGGTTCAGGTCCTTAGTCTACTCCTCATTTGCTCTGTGGCCCGGGTTACGTTAAACTTTCTCACTCTGAGCGTCAGCATTCTTATGTGTGAAATGGAGGTCCCATCTCCTTGTTACTATTAGTTGCTGTCGAGTTGACTTGGACTCTTGGCGACCTTATGTATAACAGAATGAAACGTTGCCTGGATCTACGCCATCTTTCCTCTCCTTACTCTGTGAAATGTGTGATTTGGGGTGGGTGTAAGGGCCCATCTGAGTTTTGAAGCCTGGGGGCTGCTGGCTTGAGGGTGAGGGCACAGAGGCAGACTTTGGGCAGACGCACACCTGTTCTCAGACAACATCCAGGCCGGGCTCCTCTTTCTGCAGAAGGGAAGCTGAGCCTCAGAGAGGGACGGGTAGCCCATGGTCACTTAGAGTCAGTGTCCCTGGTCCATGTGCTGGAATCTCTTGAGGGGCAGGACTTCTGCTTTATCCTCCTAGTCATCTGTTGTTAGGTGCCATCGAGTCAATTTCCGAAGCGACCCCATGTGACATCTGGTTCATTTTTAAAATGAGACAGGCATTGGAATCAACTTGACCTTGATTTGGGTGCTGGTGTTACCCTTGAGCAAGTGACTGGACTCTGCCAGCCTTGGTTTCCGTATCTGTAAAATGGGAGAGGTGATGCCTGCAGAGTTGTGGGGGACCAGTTCTCTGACTGTGCAAGTGCTAGGGGGGCCCTGCCCAGGTGCAGAATCCCACCGACTCCTCCCTCAGCCCTGCCTTTCTTGTGTCAGGACAACGTGATTGTCAGGCCTAGGGTAGGACCCAGGACTGCCCCTCCCTGGCTGGTCATGCTGGCTCCCTTTGTTCAAAGCTCTGGACACATTCTTGTCGCTGGTATCCACGCCAGCGCCCAACTCCAGATGGCCTCTGCGGGTGGGGCTGGATTGGCCTCCAGGCCCTGCTTTCCAGGATCAACCGAGGTTGATGGTGGGTGCAGCTGCAAGTCCTGAGGCTTCATCTTCAAGTCCCCATGCACCCATCCACCTCCCTCAACAACTTCAGGAGACAGCCAGGGGAGTGGGCCAGCTTGGTTAAGGGCCTCGAGTTGGCCACATGGGGTCCAGAGAGAGCTGGCCTGTGCTCCACTGTGCCACTCACACTGTGCATGCCTGGGCAGCTCTCTGACCTCTTGAGTCTCTGGTCCTCAGCTCTAAAAGGGCGGGGTAGCAGTGCTTCTCTGATGTGCAGTTGCAAGGGTGAGAGTCTGTCCAGGGAATGTGCCAGGCCTCTGATAGTGGAACTGAAGTTGCTGCTGCTGTTGTATGGTTGCTGGGACGCTAGCTCAGCCAGACCCCTGAATGTGTCCATATGTCTGTGCGGTGTCTTGAGTGAGTCCCCGCGTGAAGCTGGTCATCCTCCTCCCATCCAGAACTTTCCAAGGTCCTTGCCCCCTAGGGCTGGCTGGGCCCTTCTCTTGTGTGTGCAAGTTTGTTTTCCAGACTGGCCGGCCCCTGCACAAGGCCACCCTGTCTAATTGGTGGGCCATATGCTGTTCCCAAAACCTGGGCGGTTCTTCCAGCCTTTGCACATGGTGCCCTCTCCAGCACTCCTAGCCCCTTACCCCTCAGGCACACCTCCCCGAGGAGGCCTTACCCAGCTGGAATTGGGGCCCCTGCCTTGGGCTCCCCCTCTGCGGTGCCTATCCTAGAACTTTTCACTGAGTCAGAATTATCTTTTGTTGCTCCCCCAGCTCAGAGTTGTCTTAGCTGGTGCACGGCTCAGTACTTGGCTGTTGGTTTAATGAATGAGAAGCTGGGGAATTGGAATAGAGAAAAAAGAAGGGACTGAATTTCATGTCCTGGCTCTGCCCCCACCAGCTGTGTGACCGCAGGCAGGTTACCTAACTTTTTTGAACCTCAGCTTAGAGGTTGTGATATTTAAATGAGATTAGCAGAACGGCTGGCAGCTTCCTGATAGGATTCAGAGGCATGGGTTGGCTGCTGGAAAGAGGGGCCCATTTTGTGGGGAGGCAGCTCTGGTAATGACATAAGGTTTCTAGCTCAACTTGGGGATAGAAGACTTTGCCTTGGAGCTTGTATCCCTGTACCTGGGGAGTTATGTGGTGTTGGGTCACTCGACCTTTGGCGTCTCAATTTCCACATGTTGAAGGTGATACAAACAATAATGCTCACAGGATGGTGTGGGGGTCAAAGGGATGGAGGTTCTTTCTACTATCCACCTTCCCAGCCCAGCCCAGGGCAGGGCAGCCTGCCCAGTGCCTCTCCACCCTGCACACGTCAGCTGACTCACCAGGCTGAAGTCTCTACTACCAAAACCAGCCTTAGT